GATGCATTCACGGGATCACTAAAATAAATGACTTGCAAATTGCTCATTTTGAGACAGCGACACCACCCTGTCCCCATATTTCAGTGTAAGCTTGCAGATTTCATCCCCCGGCTGTCTAGACGTCTCCACGTACTCCACGTGAGTCTGGGAAATTACTCACCCCGTCTTTTGAATCGTTAAAGTGTTGTGCTGAGGAAGATAATATGTCAACTTTTAAATGTTTTAGGAGTATGCTGTAAAACCCCTTATTATCTTGTTTACCCGCTTTGAAAGCTTACATAAAACATTGTGCATGTTTGCATTATGTGTATCAATTTACCTGCTATGTACTTAACAATAAAGCATAGTAATTTACACAATTCAGTTCTAAACAGTTTTGCCACTTGAGTCTGTCTTCCGCCTTTTCGCTGGGCTTTTTTTTCTTCCGATTTCAATTTTTTCATCTGATTCTCTTCACATAACTTTTGCTTCAATTTCATCTATTGTTATCATAGTTGCTATGCCAATTTCTGATTATATACTGAACGACATTAAAAACGCAACTGTAAGTGTTTTGCGGCGCTCGCAACTACATAAGGTCATATTATGATCGCTCGGGACACAACAATCATTGTCAGTGGTAGTAAATTTTGAATTTTGCCCGGGTGGAGGCCGAAGCCTACTCTTATCGATTTTGGACCACCAAAGGATCTTTAACCTTCGCAACTTGCACACAGGACTTCCAAGATTGTTCGCCCCTGTCCGAGAAGGCTAGGTGGAGATCTTTCCCTCCAGAAGATCAGGAGTGTGGCTGAAAGACAGCAGAGAGAAGGAGCCAAAGAGTAGCAGTAGGAAGGCTGCAGAAAGAGTCAGGGGCGCATTGGGGTGGGGGGGGAGGAGGTGAGGGAAGAAAGTGGAGACGAAAGCAGGCTATAGAATATTGCAAGAGAGAGGGGAAGAAAGTGAAAGGAGACAATTTTAAAGAAGAAAATGTTTCCGTCGCTACCGGGATTCGAACCGGGACCTTTGAATGAGACACGAACACCTTAACCTCTAGGCCACTAGAACTCCTACGCAACGATTCGTTCGCAGAGTCTGTACCCGTTTGCATCATATGAAAATAGATTAAAAGAAGGGTTTTTTATGTTTATTCTTTTTTTTTTAAAGCGAAAAATTTTCATCACATACTTCAAAATGATTTCAATACTTTATCTTCCTTCTTTTGGAGCAACCCCTATAGACAAGTTTGCAGGTAAACACAAGTCGAAATTTAATTTGTTTTAAATCTCTCAGTCTTAGTAAACGGAACGACCATCATTAACATGTATGAAGACCAAAAGACGTCTTCACACGGATTTTATTACATTTCGAATATTTGTTGAGAAATTCTAACCCACTTTCGCGGCAGCGCGACCTCTAATTACAGCAGTTTCACAAAACGGGCTCTTGCACGTACTTAATGGTTCAGTTCAAAGTGCGCAGTTGAAAACATGTCGGGTACGTTCACTAGCTAGTCCATGAAACCTGAATTATGATCTTCCAGAAATTGACAATTGTGCTGTTTGTTATATTATTGTGGGCAATGTGAGGGTAGGAATGTCATGTTGGATGAATGAGA